AAGACTACCATTACAGAACCACACCACATCTGGCCCACCCTGACTGACGAAGAGTGGATCAAGGTCGAGGTGCAGCTCAAGGATCTGATCTTGGCAGACTATGGCAAGAAGAACAAGTGAGCAGTGGTGATTGGAGACAGCAGGCCTATGTATGGTTTCTGGGGATTTGAAGGAGTTAGGCTTAGAATTTTCTCAAGAAGGCGGGGCTCAGTGGCTCATGCCTGTAATCCCAGCACTTTGGGAGGCCAGCCAGGCAGATCATTTGAGGTCAGGAGTTCAAAACCAGCCTGACCAACATGGTGAATCCCTGTCTCTACTAAAAATACAAAAATTAGCCGGGCGTGGTGGCATGTGTCTGTAATTCCAGCCTGGGAGGCTGAGGCAAGAGAATCACTGGAACCCGGGAGGTGGAGGTTGTAGTGAGCTGAGATCATGCCACTGCACCCCAGCCTGGGTGACAAGAGCGAGACTGTCTCAAAGGAAAAAAACGTTTCTCAAGAAATTATCTTGGCTAGGCTTGAGTATTCACATTAGTAATTCCAGCAGTTTGGGAGGCCAGGGTGGGAGGATTGCATGAGCCAGGAGTTGAAAATCAGCCTGATCAACAAAACAGACTCACCCCATCTATACAAAAGAAAAAAATTAATCCTTAGGTGTGGTGGTGCATGCTGGTAGTCCCAGCTTCTTGGAGGCTGAGACGGGAAGCTTTCTTGGGCATGGGAGTTTGAGGCTGCAGTGAGCCATGATTGTGGCACTGTACTCCAGCCTGGATGACAGAGCGAGACCCTATATCAAAAAAAGGAAAGAAATTATCTTAGTCTCATAGAAAAGAGATTGGCAGTGTCTTCCAATAGTATGGGAAGGCGTCCGTGTTTTATGGTTTCAGCTAAACTCTCTTGGCTATTTCTCAGTGGAGGCACTTGCCATTTTGAGAAGGGTAGTTCCTTTGTTTTTGAGATGGGGTGTTGTTCTGTTGCCCAGGCTGGAGTGCAGTGGTGTGATCTCAGCTCACTGCAGCCTGCACCTTTTCCAAGTTCAAGTGATTCTCCTGCTTCAGCCTCCTGAGTAGTTGGGATAACAGGCGCCCACCACCATGCCCAGATAATTTTTTAAATTTTTAGTAGAGATGGGGTTTCACCATGTTGGTCATGCCAGTCTTGAACTCCTGACCTTGTGAGCCACCGTGCCCAGCCAGAGCAGGGCATTTCTTTACTGTCCATACATGATAAGTTTTAACATCCGAGACCCTAAGTGTTGGAGACTGCTGCCAACGCACATACACCTTCCTCCACTCTCCCTTTGTGGCAGCCGAAGCTGTCCATAGATTTCCAAGTACCTCCTAGGGTTACTGACAGTACCACCTCTGATTAAGAGCCAGTATTGTAGGGTTTCCGGGGTTTCCATTTCTGAGAATTGTTCCACTCCAGAGCATTGTTTTGGTCAAGGAAGCGGGGGTGTATGGATGCCAAACAGTGGGAAGGGGCACATGCAGCCTGCTGCCCTCTTGGGTCTGACAACTCTTGGAAGCGTTAGTGCACGTCCATCTCACACTTCCTATGGAAGCAGCACTGGCGGACTGTCTGGGGCACGAATATAGGCTGCCCTGCCCTACCAAGTTAATCCTTTCCACTGAGGCAGAAGTGACCAGGGGGAGGGATCCTTGTGATATGACCCACACCATCCCCACAGTGTGAACGTGGCGTCACTGACACAGTCGGAAATTCGAGACATCATCCTGGGTATGGAGATCTCGGCACCATCACAGCAGCGGCAGCAAATCGCTGAGATTGAGAAGCAGACCAAGGAACAGTCGCAGCTGACTGCCACCCAGACTCGCACTGTCAACAAGCATGGCGATGAGATCATCACCTCCACCACCAGCAACTATGAGACCCAGACTTTCTCATCCAAGACTGAGTGGAGGGTCAGGTACTGTGAAGGGCAACACATGGGGATGGAAAGGCCGCTGGCACTACTGCTGGTGCTGATGTTCCCTACCTGCGTTTAGGGCCATCTCTGCTGCCAACCTGCACCTAAGGACCAATCACATCTATGTTTCATCTGATGACATCAAGGAGACGGGCTATACCTACATCCTTCCCAAGAATGTGCTTAAGAAGTTCATCTGCATATCTGACCTTCGGGCCCAAGTGAGTAGGTGGACCCTGCGAGGCCACAGTGTGCGCCTAACACGTTGTGCCTGAAACACAGACCTGAGATGGTTAGGGACTTGAGATGCTGGTTTCAAGATTCATGGATGAGTAATTATACAAGGAGAACAGCAAGCAGGGTTCTGGCCCCCGTGAGATATTAAAAGCTGTGGAAGTTGAGAGAAGAAGGTAGTAAATGTAGTATTGGCACTTAGTCAGAAAATTCCTGACCAGGCATGTGTGGTGGCTCATGCCTGTAATCCCAACTTGTTGGGAGGCCAAGGCAGGTGGATTGCTTAAGCACAGGTTAAGTTCAAGACCCTATTCTTACAAAAAAAAAAGCATGTGGCTGTAGTCCCATCTCAGGAGGCTGAGGTCACTTGAACCCAGGCAGTCTAAGCAGTGAGCTTAGATGGTGCCCCTGCACTCCAGCCTGGGGAACAGCAAGACCCAGTCTCTGTCTCTAACAAAGGAAAAAGAAGAGGCTAGGCGCAGTGGCTCATGACTGTAATCCCAGCATTGTGGGAGGCTGAGGCAGGCAGATCTCTTGAGCCCAAGAGTTCGAGACCAGCCTGGTCAATGTGACAAAACACTGTCTCTCCAAAAAAAAAAAAAAAAAAAAAAAAAATAGAAAAACTAGCCAGGCTTGGTGGCGCACACCTGTAACGTCAGCTACTTAGGAGACTGAGGTGGGAAGATCACCTGAGCTTGGAAGGTGGTGGTTGTAGTGAGCTGAGATCGTGCCAGTGCCCACTAACCTGGGTTACAGTGATACCCTGCTTCAAAAAAAGAGAAAAGACGCTTAACTTTACTAGTGTATCAGGGATATTCATATATATTGCTCTCTACTACTCTGCCTACAGGAGTTTATAAAACACCATTTTGGGCTGGGGGCAGGTGGATCAGCTGAGGTCAGGAGTTCAAGACTAGCCTGGCCAACATGGCAAAACCCTGTCTCTATTTAAAATATGAAAATTAGCCGGGCACATTGGGCGCCTATAATCCCAGCTACTTGGGAGGCTGAGGCAGGAGAATTACTTGAACCCAGGAGGTGGAGGTTGCAGTGAGCCGAGATCGCACACTGCACTCCAGACTTGTCGACAAAGCGAGACTCCATCTCAAACCCACTATTTTGTGGCCATCAGGTTGGCAAATTTGAAAAGATTGTTAATATCCTGTGTGGGTGAGTTTATAGTAAACAGATCCTCTTTGTTGGAAATGTAAAACTAAAAATACCACCAAGTGCTGGTTTTCCAGATGTTTTCAGCTTGTGAAAGTACATTGGGCTGTATGTTTGTATGCTCATTTGCTTACGAACACTGTACTTAATAATCAGCTGGGAAGCTGTAAGCAGTGCAGATCCCTGGACCACACTCGGGCAATTCTGATGTGGTGAGTCTGAGATAAGGTCCATGTTTGACATTTTGAACAAGCGCGCCTGGCTGATTCAGACGGGGTTCTGATCACGTTTTAAGAAACTCTGTCCTCATTCTTGGGGGAAGGAAGGAAACAGGGCTGCAGTTCCAACTCGGAGCTGGTGCTAAGAAGCCTTTTGGTTCCGGACCCCTTTGTCTCTAGATCGCAGGGTACCTCTATGGGGTGAGCCCACCAGATAACCCGCAGGTGAAGGAGATCCGCTGCATCGTGATGGTGCCACAGTGGGGCACCCACCAGACTGTGCACCTGCCTGGCCAGCTGCCCCAGCACGAGTACCTCAAGGTGAGTGGCGGTGATGGAGCTTGGAAGTGTGGAAGAGCTGGGGCTTCCTGGCCCTCAAGTCAGGTGTGCTACCCTCGTGGGTGCAATTCCTGTCTGTGGATGCGATTCTGAACAGCTCTCTACTACTTTGCCTACAGGAGATGGAACCCTTAGGCTGGATCCACACTCAGCCCAATGAGTCCCCACAGTTGTCACCCCAGGATGTCACCACCCACGCCAAGATCATGGCTGACAACCCATCTTGGGATGGCGAGAAGACCATTATCATCACGTGCAGGTGGGCTTGGGCTTCCTCAGGAGGAGTGCGGTGGTGCAGGGACTGCAGGCCGGGGCCCAGAACGTGGCCTGAGCTGCTGTGTGTCCTCGCCCTCCCCCAGCTTCACTCCAGGCTCCTGTACACTGACGGCCTACAAGCTGACCCCCAGTGGCTACGAATGGGGCCGCCAGAACACAGACAAGGGCAACAACCCCAAGGGCTACCTGCCTTCGCACTACGAGCGGGTCCAGATGCTGCTGTCTGACCGCTTCCTCGGCTTCTTCATGGTCCCTGCCCAGTCCTCATGGAACTACAACTTCATGGGTAAGTGGGGGTGGCGCTAGGGGTATGTGAGGCCATTGCCCTGCATGCTTAGGGACCGGCTGGCTGCATGAGGCAGAGGGCCCGTTAACATCTGATGTTCCCTTCTTCCCTAAGGCGTTCGGCATGACCCCAACATGAAGTACGAGCTGCAGCTGGCGAACCCCAAAGAGTTCTACCACGAGGTGCACAGACCCTCCCACTTCCTCAACTTTGCCCTCCTGCAGGAGGGGGAGGTGTACTCTGCCGACAGGGAGGACCTGTATGCCTAGTCGCTTCCCTGCCCCCTGCCTCAGCCTTCTGCAGGCTGGTGACATTCAGCAGCTTGGCCCTTTCCCTCTGTGTGCACTTATTGTATTGTTGACTTCTTGATGGCCTCATCCTGAATAAAATACAGTAATAAATTTTGTATAAATAGGAGTTTGGGGGCTGGTTTTTTTTCCCCCTGAACTCAGATTCTGGATTTAGGTCTGACAGGTGGCAGGACAGGTGGCAGCAAGATGCTGGGCCCAGCCGTGGTGACGGGGAGTTGAGGCCCCTACCTCCCTATTAGGGGCTTGGGGCTAGAGACCCCCCTGGACTGGGTGGAGACCTGCGGTGGGGCGGGGCTTTCACTGCTTCCTGGTTGGTTCCCGACAACACAGCACTGGAAGGCCTCACCTCCCTTCCACAGCTGTGCCAGCGCTGCCTTTTCCCAGGTCTCCGAGCTCCGTGGCTTGTGCTGAGTGCTGGGGTGTCCAGCCCAGCCCTGTAAGCTTTCCGGTCACTCCTGGTCAGGAAAACAAGCACACAGGCAGGCAGTTTGTGTACGGCCGCGCGGAGGCCAGTGATCCGCCGCCTATCTGTCACCTCTGGCCCTGAGCGCGCTGCTGCCAAGTTGTCCCCATGACTCCAAACACGGGGGCGGAGCCTGGATCGGGCCTGTGGGGAGGGCTCCACTCAAGTGACCACAGGCAGCCCTGAGCTCAGCTCCTGGTGCCTGGCTGGAAAGTGGCTGTCCTGCTTCCTGTGACCTTGGGGGTGGAAGGACGGGCCCAGGGGTCTAGGGCACGATCTCCCTTCTACACGCCTCCTTCCCTCGCTCCTCCCACCCTTCTCGCTTCTACCCCGCCTCCACCACCCTAAACGGCTTCCTGGGCCGGAACTGTTTGGCTTTTCCCTGTCCCAGTTGAGGGTGGGGGGTCGCGGCCCCAGGCCTTTGCGGGACATGGAGCCCAGGAGGGTGGCGCCTGGGGCGCCCGGCTGGGGCCCTCGAGGGGCCGTGGGGCCGCGGATGGTGGCGGAGCTTGTGTACCACCTAGCCGGGGCCTTGGGCACTGAGCTGCAGGAGCTGGCGCGTCGTTTCGGGCCGGAGGCGGCGGCCGGGCTGGTGCCGCTAGTGGTGCGCGCGCTGGAGCTCTTGGAACAGGCTGCCGTGGGGCCCACCCCGGACTCGGTGAGTCACCGCCCTCCCCTCGCCACCCGAGGGGCCGCCAGGGCGGAAGCCTGAGACCTGGGCTCCCCAGCTGCAGGTGTCGGCGCAGCTGGCCGAGCGGGAGCTGCGGCGGCTGCGGGAGGAGAACGAGCGCCTCTGCTGGGAGCTACGCGCGGGGCCGCAGGGTAAGTGCAGCCCCGGCCAGGGCGGGCGGGTGACGGCCGGCTCAGGTCCTCTCCTCCCTCCCGTGGGCCGCGCGCCGCCGCTAAGAACACCCCTTTCTCAGAGGAGCGCGCGCTGCTACGGCAGCTCAAGGAGGTGACGGACCGACAGCGGGACGAACTGCGGGCGTACAACCGCGACCTGCTGCAGCGCGGCCTGGAGACCGAGGCGGTGAGTGCGGGGCGGGGCGGGGTGGGGCGGGGCGGGGCGGGGCCCCGGCCACCTCGGCGCCCCGCACACCCCACACTTTGCTCCGCCCCCAGTTGCAGGAGCAGCTGCAGCGCCTCCTGCTGGTGAATGCCGAGCTGCGGCAGAAGCTGGCGGCCGTGCAGACCCAGCTGCGTACCGCGCAGGACCGCGAGACAGAGCGCCAGCAGCCTGGAGGAGGCGCGGATCCACCGGCTGAGGAGAGAGCGCGGGGCCAGGTCTGGGGGCCCGAGCACCAGCAGGGGCAGGAGCCCGAACGGGCGACCCCTGAGGACTCTGTGAGTGCTGCACGAGGGCAAGGATCCAGCCCAGGAGGGCACTCGGGCCAGGTCCGCATCGGCACAGCAGGTCCGCGCCCCCGACCGGCCTCTGTTACTTGTTGGGGCACCCTTGTCCCACAGGTCTCCCTGCCCGTCACTTCCTCTAGCGTTCTCGCGATGGCCCTCGAGCGCGACCCTCTGACCGTGCCTGTCCTCCTAAAGGTAGAGGCCGCGCAGCCGCCAGGGCGCCCCCAGGAGGCAGGGCAGTGCCGCATCAGCCGGGAGGAGTTTGAGCAGATCCTTCAGGAGCGGAATGAACTCAAAGCCACAGTGTTCCTGCTCAAGGAGGAGCTGGCCTACTTCCAGCGGTGAGGGCGCCGGGAAGCTGAGGGGCTCCGATCACCCCACCTCGTTCTCCCATCATCGATATGTCCACAGTGACATGGTGACATGTGCAAGGCCTGCGCTGGGTAGTGGAAGGATGTAAATTGCACGGCCCCTCCCGTCCACAGCGTCACCCAGACACAGAAGAGGGACAGTGCACAGGGTCACCGCTGCAGCCGCCAGGGAAGCTCTCCTAGGAGGGGCACCTAAGTGAAGGTCTGAGGGTGTCAGCTGGGCACAGGTTTCAGGTGTCCAGGGAGGAGCCTCTGCACCGGTGTACCAGGAGTGAGGCCCACGGTTGCATCTCTGCTGCTTTCTCCTGCCCTGCCCCTCTTCTGCAGGGAGCTGCTCACTGACCACCGGGTCCCCGGCCTTCTGCTGGAAGCCATGAAGGTGGCTGTCAGGAAGCAGCGAAAGAAGATCAAGGCCAAGATGTTAGGGACTCCAGAGGAAGCAGAGAGCAGGTGGGTCCCAGCCTGCATCCCCACGGAGCCAGCTCCCCTCCCGAGTTCTGCTGAGCCTGATGACCTGGCCTGGTCACCCTCTGAGCCAATTGTCTCAGACTGAGCCTGTCACCCCAACCTGCTCTCCCCTCGAGCCTCCCAGCCTGGCCACTTTTAGGGCCTGCTGACCTGGTCTGGCTGGGTCCTGTGGCTTGTGGTCCAGCCTGTGCCCTTCTCCCTGGATCTCATGGCTCCCCTTGCCTTGCCTGCCAGTGCTGCCTCCCCACTTTCACCCTTCAGCTCCTGGCCTTGGCTGGCTCTGTCTGTTCTTACAGGGGTGACACTGTAGCTGTGTCAGGGCCTGCTGTGTGTCGAGACATAAAATAAAGCCTCGTCGGGTGCAGTGGCTCACACTTGTTATCCCAGCACTTTGGGAGTCTGAGGCAGGCAGATCACAAGGTCAGGAGTTCGAGACCAGCCTGGCCAACATGGTGAAACCCCGTTTCTACTAAAAATACAAAAATTAGCCAGGTGTGGTGGCATGCGCCTGTAATCCCAAATATTCGGGAGCCTGAGGCAAGAGTATTGCTTGAGCCCAGGAGGTGGAGGTTGCAGTGACCTGAGATCATGCCACTGCACTCCAGCCTGGGTGACAGAGTGAGACTGTCTCAAAAATAAAATAAAATAAATAAAGCCTCAAGACATCCTGCATCTCCCCAGGGTCGCCTTTTCTTCAGCCCTGGGGGCCCTGCTGTCCCTTATCCCCCCTGCTAGATTCCCGCTGTCCCTCAGGCCTTGATCCCTCACGTCTCCTTTCTCCTGTCTCAGTGACGATGAGGATGGCTCCTGGCTCCTGCTCGCCGATGATAAGGATCCCCCACCCCCGGAATCCAAAATACAGAGTTTGTATGTTGGGGGAAGGGGAAGGGCAACAGTGGGGGAGGGAGGAAGAATACTGGATCTCCTTTCCCGCTTCCCTGCCTGTCACCCTGCTGTCCTTGGCTCTAAGCAGGCCCTCCCCTCCTGCTTCTCCGACCCACCATCGGCCCCATCACCTTTCCACTCCCTCGGGCTGCCCTTTCCTGCCCCTCTCCCCTGTCCTCACCACCCCCCACCCTGCCCTCAGCCCACGTCCTGGACCTCTCCGGCTTCCTAAAGCAGAGTGCCTCTGGCTGTCTCTCCAGCTTTGACCTGTGGTATCGCGGGAAAGCCGAATCCCCGGAGGATGAGACCCACAGCCCTGCTCCCGGCAAGCCAGAGGCAGAAGAGGAGACCCAACCATAGTCTCCAGCACCTGAGCTGCCCTGTCCTGCCTGTCAGGAACATCTCTGTCTGGGGGCCTCAGCCACCCCAGAGGCCTGACTTGGGGATCTGGCTGTGGCTGGATTTGTGACCTCATATGAGGACAGGGCTCCCTCCTTTGTGGCCTCCCAGGCGTCTTCCCCAGTTCTGGCCTGCACCAGGGCAGCACGGGGGCTCAGCCCACCTCCCTCTCTACGTCTCTGTACCAGACCTCTGGGGCCAGACATAAGAGCACCTCTCTGAGTCTCAGTTTCCCCATCCACAAAATGAGAGCTGGTTCCCAGGCCTTTGTGCAGATGGCCTGAGCTTGTGTAATAAAGAACTACCTGAAACTCCCAGAAACTGTCCCTCACCTGTCTGTCCGTGTCCGTATCACCTCCAAGCCCCGCCAGGAGCAGAGGCAGGCCGAGGGGGCCTCAGGGCGCCCTTGGTCAGTCACTGGGTGGGGAGGCTTCTTGCAGCCCCGTCCTTGCTTTGGGATTGCAGCCTGATGGAGGGCTGAGGTTCCCACCCTCACTCCACCCGCTTCCCCGGTCCCAGCACCCAGGGACCTGCAGCTTCACCCTTCTGGCCCCTCTAGGCCAAGGGCAGTCAGCTCTGCCGCTGGCCTTCCTTTCCCTTTCTTGTTTTGAGTGTCGGTCTGACCTGCAACCCCCGCCCCCTCAGGGAGGCGCCTCAGGGCTGCCCGCCCCTCCGGCCTGGTTTCCTCAGGAAAAGCCCTGGGAGGAAGCAGGGAGGAGGTCGGGAGCTGTGGGGGCCAGAATAACCCAGCCTTCCCTGCACTGCTGCCATGGGGCTGTGGCTGCTGTTCCCACTGCTGCTGCTCTGGCCTCGGGGGACTCGGGGGTCCCAGCTGGACCCCAGTGGGCAGCACGTCTGTGTGGCCAGCAGGTGGGTTTCATGGGAGTCTGACAGGGGTGGCTGAACTGGTGCTGAGGCCTTTGGGGGAAGGAGGGCATAGAAAGAGGTCTTGGCACTGAAAGGATGGGCTGCTGTGGGCAGCCTGGCAGGCAGTGGCTCACCGGGGCAAATGGTGGAAGGGCCAGGGAAGGAGTGGGGAGGAGGTGGGGACCCCAGAGCTGTACAGGTCGGCGAGGCCTCCCCAGGGGGCTAGGCAGCCTCCCCCACCTCAGCCAGAGACAGTGATCCATCCTGCTCAGGACCAGGCCGCAACTCCCGCTGACCCCTTTTTGCCCCATAGCCCCTCTGCTGAGCTGCAGTGCTGCACAGGCTGGAGGCAGAAAGACCAAGAATGCAGCATCCGTGAGTATCCAGGACAGACCCCCAGCCAAGGAGAAGGGAGGTCGCAGCCAGCGACAGCCCCTCCTGCCTACCCCCGGGGGCCGGCTTCCCTCCCGAGCCCAGGAGCCAGGCTTTCTCCTGCAATGCCCCCAGCCCTGAAGGGGCACTCCTTGAGGAAGCTTGGCCCCCAGAGCCAGTGAGAGGGTGGGTGTGTCCTCTGGTCCTGCCTGTCTTTCCAACTTGGGTGGGTGTCTTTCAGCCATCTGTGAGGGGCCAGACGCCTGCCGGGAAGATGAGGTGTGTGTGAAACCGGGCCTCTGTCGGTGCAAACCTGGGTTCTTTGGGGCCCACTGCAGCTCCCGTGAGTCTCAGGGGCAGGATGAGGTTGCTGGGCAGAGCTGGGCACCGAGGCGGTGGTGTTGGGGCAGGCAAGGCAGGTACCAAGCAGCCTCAGGACAGCGGGGTCAGGACGCCTCCTAGCCTTGGAGGAATCAAGGTCCAGAGACAGGAAGTGACACACTCCTGGGGGATGGCCTGGGGCACTGGGTCTTCACCCACATCCACAAAGCCCTCCCCACCTGAGTATCTTTCTGTTCCACTTCTCGGAAAACCTGTGACTCTTGTGAACTGCAACATGACTGTATTCCTGGTCTTTCCCACATACACCTTTAACGCAGACGGTGGAGGGAAGGAGGCCCTGCTGGGCTGTGTGCCCTCTCTGGCCGAAACAGAAGGGGAAGGGGTTGGGTAGCAGGAGAGCCGGAGGGTGGGTACCAGCAATCAAGGGATCACTAGGGGAAGGGTGGCTTCTCTTGCCACCCTGGCAGGCAGCATCCACGTCTGAGATCCGGAAGGAGTCCTGCTCTCCTCCAGCCCAGTAGGGATCGATCTCTGCGGGGAGGAGCAGCATGAAGGCAGCCCCTCCCCCCACCTCTGCCCAGGACTCTGGGCAAGTCCCCTGCCCACTCGGGATATCTGAGTGTGTTCTGGAGTGGGAGGCGGGAGGCTGAGCCATGGCAAAGGGTTTTCTGTAAGTCAGAGCAGAGCAGGAAGTGACTGTTGCCCCGACAGGCTGCCGGATGTTCCAAGGATCTGTCCCCGGCCCTCGGAGGGTGGGCCCGGCACCCTTTTTCCTTGTGGAAGGGGATGCAGTGTCAGGATCCGCGCGCACCCTGAGCCCGCTGACCCCTTCCTTTCCACCCTGCAGGCTGCCCGGGCCAGTACTGGGGCCCCGACTGCCGCGAGAGCTGTCCCTGCCACCCACACGGCCAGTGCGAGCCGGCCACGGGCACGTGCCGGTGCCAAGCCGACCGCTGGGGTGCCCGCTGCGAGTTCCCATGCGCCTGCGGCCCCCACGGGCGCTGCGACTCCGCCACCGGCGTGTGCCGCTGCGAGCCGGGCTGGTGGTCGTCCACCTGCCGCCGCCCGTGCCAGTGCAACCCCGTGGCGGCGCACTGCGAGCAGGCCACGGGCGCCTGCGTGTGCCAGCCGGGCTGGTGGGGCCGCCGCTGCACCTTCCGCTGCGCCTGCCACGGCTCCCCGTGCGAGCAGGACTCGGGCCGCTGCGCCTGCCGGCTGGGCTGGTGGGGCCCCGACTGCCGGCAGCAGTGCCAGTGCGAGCGCGGCCAATGCAACCCCGCCTCTGGCCAGTGCACCTGCCCTCCGGGCTTCCGAGGAGCGCGCTGCGAGCTGCCCTGCCCGGCCGGGAGCTACGGGGTGCAGTGCGGACTCAGGTGAGCAGGGCGGGGCGGGCACAGGTAAACAGGACAGGGCGCGCACAGGTGAGTGGGGCGAGGCGGACGAGGTGGGTGGGGCGGGGCGGACACAGGTGGGCGGGGCGGGGGCGCCGGGAGGAGGGGTCAGGGCTTCGCGGTGCTCCCCTCAAAAAACATACAAAGCAAAGGCATGAAAGGGGAAAGAACGGTAGGGCGCGGTGGCTCACGACTGTAATCCCAGCACTTTGGGAGGCAGAGGCGGGAGGATCACCTGAGGTCAGAAGTTGGAGACCAGCCTGGCTAACATGGAGAAACCCCATCTCTACTAAAAATACAAAAATTAGCCAGGCGTGGTGGCGGGCGCCTGTAGTCCCAGCTACTCCGGAGGCTGAGGCAGGAGAGTCGCTGGAACCCGGGAGGCGGAGGTTGCAGTGATCACCCCACTGCACTTCAGCCTAGGCAACAGAGCGATATGCCGTCTCAAGAAAACAAAACAGGGACTCCATGTTTGGGTCCCCTTCCATGAACACTCCCTTAGTAGAAGCCATCTTTCTCTTTCCTGGATTTCCCCTCTGGAGTCCCCTTCCACACACTCTCGTGGAAGCCTGTCTTCCCCTCCCACACTCCATCTCTCTCTATCCCTTCCCCTCAATGTGGAAGCTGCTTTCCTCTCCTGGATTCCATCTTTCTGGATTCTCTCACTCAGCCTGAGAGTTAGCTGTTTTTCTCTTTCTCCTGTTTCTCTCCCTAAATAAATGACTTTCTTTCTTTCCTTCCTTCCTTCCTCTTTCTTTCTTTCTTTCTTTCTTTCTTTCTTTCTTTCTTTCTTTTTCTTTCTTCTTTCTTTCTTTCTCTCTCTCTCTCTCTTCTTTCTCTCTCTCTCTCTTTCTCTCTTTCTCTCTCTTTCTTTCTTTCTTTTCTGAGACGGAGTTTTGCTCTTGTTACCCAGGCTGGAGTGCAATGGCCTGATCTCGGCTCACCGCAACCTCCGCCTCCTGGGTTCAGGCAATTCTCCTGCCTCAGCCTCCTGAGTACATGGGATTATAGGCACGCGCCACCATGCCCAGCTAATTTTTTGTATTTTTAGTAGAGACGGGGTTTCACCTTGTTGACCAGGATGGTCTCGATCTCTTGACCTCGTGATCCACCCACCTCGGCCTCCCAAAGTGCTGGGATTACAGGCGTGAGCCACCGCGCCCGGCCTATTTTTTTTTTTTTTTTAAATAAGAAACGCTTCACAAGTTTGCATGTCATCCTTGCGCAGGGGCCGTGCTAATCTTCTCTGTATCATTCCAATTTTAGTATATGTGCTGCCAAAGTAAGCACATAAATGACTTTCTACAAACAAACAAAAAGAAAATAAAACATTTTATTTTATTTTATTTTTACTTTTACTTTTTTATTTTTATTTTTTTGAGACAGAGTCTCGCCCTGTTGCTAGGCTGGAGTGCAGTGGTGCGATCTTGCCTCACAGCAATCTCCATCTCCCAGGTTCAAGCAATTCTCCTCCCTCAGCCTCCCTAGTGGGAGCTAATTAGCCCAGCTAATTTTTGTATTTTTAGTAGAGATGGGGTTTCTCAGTGTTGGTCAGGCTGGTCCAGAATTCCCGACCCTCAGGTGATCTGCCCGCCTCGGCCTCCCAAAGTGCTGGGACTACAGACGTGCCCACCATACCCAGCTAATGTTTGTATTTTTAGTAGAGACGGGGTTTCACCATATAGGTCTCTATCTCCTCACCTCGTGATCCACCCGCCTCGGCCTCCCAAAGTGCACCCAGTCAAAAATTTAAAAAAACCCTTTGTTGCCCCAGGTCCAGTCCCGCCTGCTCATTTCATCCAATTACTGCTTCGCAAAAAGTGCTAGTCCTGCTCACAAGCCAGATGTAGATAATGAACTGGTTGAGTGACCAGAGGTCCTGGGCAAGATCCCTTTAGGACTCAGTGGTTTTCAAACTTTGACCGGCTCCACTCACAGTAAGAAATTTCATCCCTGGATGGGTGTGTTGGCTCACGCCTGTAATCCCAGCACTTTGGGAGGCCGAGGCAGGCAGATCACCTGAGGGTGGGGAATTCGAGACCAGCCTGACCAACACTGAGAAACCCCATCTCTACTAAAAATACAAAAATTAGCTGGGCTTGGTGGCACATGCCTGAAATCCCAGCTATTCAGGAGGCTGAGGTAGGTGAATCACTTGAACCCGGGAGGCGGAGGTTACTGTAAGCCGAGATTGTGCTATTGCATTCCAGCCTGGGCAACAAGATCGAAACTCCGTCTCAAAAAAAAAAATTTCATCCCTGGCTGGGTGCAGTGGCTCATGCCTGTAATGCCAGCACTTTGGGAGGCTGAGGCGGGTGGATCACCTGAGGTCAGGAGTTCAAGACCAGCCTGACCAAAAGGTGAAACCCCATCTATACTAAAAATACAAAAAAGTAGCTGGGTGTTGTGGCGTGCCTGTGTAGTCCCAGCTACTCGGGAGGCTGAGGCAGGAGTATCACTTGAACCTGAGAGGCAGAGGTTGCAGTAAGCTGACATCAGTCCACTGCACTCCAGCCTGGGTAACAGAGCGAGAATACGTCTCAAAAAAAAAAAAGTCATCTGATCCAACATATATAACACGTTTTATTTAACTGAAATAGGATTTATTTATTTATTTTTGAGACAGAGTCTCACTCTGTTGCCCAGGCTGGAGTGCAGTGGCGCCATCTCTGCTCACTGCAGCCTCCACCTCCCAGGCTCAAGCGATTCTCTCATCTCAGCCTCCCAAGCAGCTGAGATTTCAGACTTGTGCCACACACCCAGCTAATTTTTGTAGTGACAGTGGTCTCACTTTGTTGCCCAGGCTGGTCTCAAACTTCCGCACTCAAGAAATCTACCTGCCTCGGCTTCCCAAAATTCTGGGATTTACAGGCATGAGCCACCATGCCCAGCCCTCAAATAAGGATTTTTTTTTTTTTTTTGAGATGGAGTCTCGCTGTGTCCCCCAGACTGGAATGCAGTGCTGTGATCTCAGCTCACTGCAACCTCCGCCTCCCAAGTTCAAGAGATTCTCCTGCCTCAGCCTCCCGAGTAGCTAGGACTACAGGCACACACCATCACACCCAGCTAATTTTTGTATTTTTGGTAGAGATGGGGTTTCACCAAATTGGCCAGGCTGGTCTGGAACTCCTGACCTTGTGATCCGCTTGCCTTGGCCTCCCAAAGTGCGGGGATTACAGGCATGAGCCACTGCGCCCAGCCTGAAATAAGGAATAAACCAGACAAAACATACTTTTATATAATGTGAAATTATATTGGTGACAACAGTGGTCTCCAACCTTTTGGCCCTGGGGATTGGTCTCATGGAAGACAGATTTTTTATTGTTACACTGTGATCAATAATGAAATCATTATACAACTCACCATAATACAGAATCAGCGGGAGCCCTGAGCTTGTTTTCTGGCAACTAGACGTTTCCCACTGGGGCTGACGGGAGGCAGTGACAGATCATCATGCATTAGATTCTCATAAAGGGCGTGTAACCTGGGTCCCTCCCATCACAGCTCACAGTAGGATTGGGTTCCTATGAGAATCAAAGGCCACGGCATATCTGCCTGGTGCCAGAGCTCAGGTGGTTGTGCTCCCTGGCTGCTCATCTCTGCAGTGCCGCCTGGCTCCTAACAGCCCACCGACTGTACCAGGGTTTCGAAACCTCTGGGTGAGAAAACTTTGTATCTTTTCTGTTTCATATGATGGAGTAGAAGGCACTACTGAGGGCTGGGCGTGGTGGCTCTCGCCCATAATCCCAGCACTTTGGGAGGCCGAGGCAGGTGGATCACCTGAGGTTAGGAGTTTGAGACCAGCCTGGCCAACATGGTGAAACCCCGTCTCTACTAAAAATACAAAATTAGCCGGGCATGGTGGTGCACCATGTAGTGGTAATCCTAGCTACTCAGGAGGCTGAGGCAGAAGAATCGCTTGAACTCGGGAGGCAGAGGTTGCAGTGAACCCAGATCATGCCACTGCACTCCAGCCTGGGCAACAGAGCAAGACTCCGTCTCAAAAAAAAAAACACGAAAAATTAGCCAGGCATGGTGGCATGTGTTTGTAATCCCAGCTGCCTGGGAGGCTGAGGCAGGAGAATCACTTGAACCTGAGAGATGGAGGTTGCAGTGACCCCAGATGTTGCCACTGCACTCTAGCCTGGGCAACAAGAGTAAACTTGGTCTCAAAAAAAGAAGACAATACTGAGTCCCATTGATGCCAGACCTCAGGGCAGCTCGGTGTGGAAGGAAGAGAGGAGAAAGGGTAGGAGGGAAGGCCAGGCAGATGGGCCTCAGGTTGGTAGTGTCTCGGCTGCCCTGGCTGGGCTGTTGGCTTCTGATGACCCTGGGACTCAGGGAAAGGTGGTCACAGAGCAGGTGCTTCAAAGGAGAGGGATGGGGTCCTGTAAGAGCCCTCATTGTCTAGCCTCCTCACTGTACAACATGGGGAAACTGAGGCCCAAACCTGCCTGAGTGACCCAGGTGGGACCCGAACACTCTTCAGGGCCCCTGAAGGCCTGCGTGGCCAGTACAGGGATTGGAGGGGGTAGGCGCTCCTTCCTTCCACCCCCAGTGCTCCCAAGAAGCCCCTCTCTTCCCAGCTGTGGTCACTGCAAACATGATGAGCCATGCTCTCCAGACACAGGCAGCTGTGAGTCCTGCCAGCCGGGCTGGAATGGAACTCAGTGCCAGCAGCCCTGCCCACCTGGCACCTTTGGCAAGAGCTGCGGGCAGCAGTGCCCTCACTGCCAACATGGGGAGGCCTGTCAGCCAGATACCGGCCACTGTCAGCACTGTGACCCCGGCTGGCTGAGGCCCAGGTGAGAACACCATTCTGTTCAGGGCAGGGCACACCTCCCCCCAGGACCCTCACCTCAGCGGCTCTTCTGGGAATGCCGCCCCACCCTACCCCAACACGCAGGTTCATGCACCTCGAAGCCCCAGGGTCTCCCTCCTGATGAAGACCAAGGGAGGGCAGTGGGTTCTGGGGGGCCTGGGCAGGATTCCTGCTCCCTCCCCTCTGAGGCTTCCCACCCTCCTCCCACTCTGGGAACACATAGTCTGTCACTGCTGGGTTGGGCCCCAAGTTCAAGGCCCTGTCTGCACCTGAGCTTCATGCTGAGGAGTGGCCAGACGTGTCTGGAGTCCAGGAGCCCGGGGCAGATGGGTGGGGCCCCACGCTGGGGCTGGGCCTGCCTTGCCGTGCCCCTGAGTCTTGCCTCACCCAGGTGTGTTGACCCCTGCCCCACGGGCACCTTTGGGGAAGACTGCGGCTCTACCTGCCCCACCTGTGTTCAGGGGGCATGTGACGCTGTGACAGGGGAATGTGTCTGCAGTGCCGGCTACTGGGGGCCCAGGTGAGCCTGGGAGTCCTGGGGTCAGGAGGGTACAGGGGCCCAGGTTAGGCCTCCAGCCATGCCCAGAAATCTTCCTGCCCCTCTCCCTGCCTGCCTCCCTTCCCCCAGCCCTCAGCCTGCCTCTCCATGTCACTCCATAGCTGCAATGCTTCCTGCTCAGCCGGCTTCTATGGAAACAACTGCTCAGTTCCCTGTGAATGCCCAGAGGGACTCTGCCACCCTGTGTCCGGGTCCTGCCAGCCGGGTAAGGTGGAGGGAGCCTGCAGGGTGCACTGGGCAGGGAAGGCGGGCCCACCATGCAGGCTCCAGGGCTGGTCCCTTGCCAGGGAGTCTCAGCTCACCTCAGAGACATTCTTTTTTTTTTGAGACAGAGTCTCATTCTGTTCCCCAGGCTGGAGTACAGTGGTACAATCTCAGCTCACTGCAACCTCTGCCTCCCAGGTTCAGCCAATTCTCCTGTCTCAACCTCCTGAGTAGCTGGGATTACAGGTGCATGCCACCACACCCAGCTAATTTTTAGATTTTTAGTAGAGATGGGGTTTCACCATGTTGGCCAGGCTGGTCTCGAACTCCTGACCTCAAGTGATCCTCCCACCTCGGCCTCCCAAAGTGCTATGATTACAGACGTGAGCTACTGAGCCTGGCCCAGAGACTTTTTTTTTTTTGAGAGGGAGTTTTGCTCTTGTTGCCCAGGCTGGAGTGCCATGGCGCAGTCTAGCTCACCGAAACCTCCAGCTCCTGGGTTCCAGTGATTCTCCTGCCTCAGCTTCCCAAGCAGCTGGGATTATAGGCACCTTCCAACATGCCTGGCTAATTTTGTATTCTTAGTAGAGACGGGGTTTCTCCATGTTGGTCAGGCTGGTCTCGAACTCCCGACCTCAGGTGATCTGCCTGCCTCGGCCTCCCAAAGTGCTGGGATTATAGGCGTCAGCCACTGCACCTGGCCAAGACATTCTTTATACCTGATCTCTGTGTGGATGCCCTGAAGATATGACAGAGCCCCTGCCCCCTGAGAAACCAGCTAGAACCATGGAATGGGCAGTGGGCGGCTGGACACTGAAGTGAAATCAGGGACACGAATTTGCGGAATGGGCCACAGACCGTGAGGAGGGGACACATCAGGAGAGAGGCTGCCCGGAGGCAGGGAGAGACCCCCAGGAGGAAGCTTCTGTGTAGGAGGCAACTCAGAGTGAAGGACAGAACAGGATGCACGGGAGACAGGAAGGGCTGCGACTCCTGTCCTGGCTCCCCCAGGTTTTCGAGGTCGTGCCACTGCCCTCCTCATGGGCATCCTTGTGCCCCTGCTGCTGCTCTTCCTCGGCCTCGCCTGCTGTGCCTGCTGCTGCTGGACCGCCCACTCAGACCTCAAGGACAGGTGAGCACCAGCCTGTCCCTTCCACACCCAGCTCAGGCCATGCGGTGAGGGAGCAGGGGGCCTCTGGTTTCCTTGTGGGGGTGAGGAGGGCTGGCCTTGTCACCCATGTAGGTCAGAGGTGATGGAGGCAGTTGGCAGTGGCCTGGAGATGCTGCAGACACCAGGTCAGCTGACTGCCCTCCTCATGATCATGATGTCTCCACTGCCAGGTAAGCATCTGCCTGCCCTTCTTGATGGGGAAGTTTCTGAGTTATGTGGGCAGGGGGCACTGGGCACCAGGCTGGCGAACCTGAGCCTGAGGCGGAGGCAGAGAGCTGACCCCGGTGGGGACAGAGGCAGAGGGCTGGGACCACAGAAGCAGCAGCCCAACTCCGTCCGGCCCAGGAGGGAAAATCAACCAGGCCTCAGATGCCCTGAAAAGGAGCGTGACCAGCCGGGCATGGTGGCTCACGCCTGTAATCCTAGCTATTTGGGAGGCTGCAGTGGGTGGATCTCCTGAGGTTAGGAGTTCAAGACCAGCCTGGCCATCATGGTGAAACCCCATCTTTGAAAAAAAAAAAAAAAGAAAAGGAGCGTGACCTAGACGTCTGTGCAGTGGGCACTGCTTCAGCGGAGAATGCAGCGTCCTGAGAGATGGAGAGGGAGGAAGGACGGGGCTGGTGGAGCCCACTGCAGGGTAGACACAGAGCTTGATCCTTTATAAAAGCTCTTCACACTCAGGGATCCTTTGAGACTCACAGCAGCATGGAAGTTTGGAGCAGCGAGTGTGGGGCCGGGAGGACCATCCTCAATTCCCAGAGGCCATGCGGCCCAAGGTGACCTGGCGAGTCACTGGCAAACAGGAAGCCCCTCCCCAGCTTCCTGGACTCTGTGTCTGGACTGCTCTTACTCATTCCTGCCCTAGTCCTCTAGTACATCCTCCCTGCACTTGTGGGGCATTCACAGATGAGCAGACACAGTTGCCCCAGCTCAGGGCAGAGAGCCCGGGGTGGCAAGAAGCCCCCTGCAGGGACACGAGGACAGGGGCAGAAGCTGTTGGGGAACAGTGAAGGGCAGAGCCATCTCCACATGTGGGGGTAGAGCAGAGTGGGAACAAGGGAAGGCTTCCTGGAGGGGGTGTCATTTGAAATAGGTGGGCCATGCCTGTAATCCCAGTACTTTGGGAGGCCGAGACAGGCGGATCACCTGAGGTCAGGAGTTCAAGACCATCCTGGCCAACCTGGTGAAACCCCATCTGTCAGGCCAGGCGCGGTGGCTCAAACCTGTAATCCCAGCACTTTGGGAGGCCGAGGTGGGTGGATCACGAGGTCAAGAGATCGAGACCATCCTGGTCAACATGGTGAAACCCCGTCTCTACTGAAAAAAATACGAAAAATCAGCTAGGTATGGTGGTGCGTGCCTGTAATGCCAGCTACTGAGGAGGCTGAGGCAGGAGAATTGTTTGAACCCAGGAGGCGGAGGTTGCGGTGAGCCGAGATCGCGCCATTGCACTCCAGCCTGGGTAACAGGAGCAAAACTCCGTCACAAAAAAAAAAGAAACCCCATCTATACTAAAAAAAATAAATAAATAAGCTGGGTCTGGTGGTGCACACCCATAGTCCCAGCTACTCGGGAGGCTGAGGCGGGAGAATTGCTTTAATCCGAGAGGTGGAGGTTGCAGTGAGCCAAGATCACGCCACTGCACTCCAGCCTGGGCGATAGGAGTGAAACTCCATCTCAAAAAACAGAGACAGACAGGCGAGCTGGGCTCAGCTAGGATGATGAAACAAACGGCCACATCTTGGGGAAGCCCCACCAAATGCGGGGCGGCCTCCTGGTTCCGCGTGAAGCTCTGATAGACAGGGTTGTAGTCCTCGTTTTACAGATGCAGACACTGAGGCCTAGGGAGGTGAAGCCTCAGCCAGAGTTGTTACTCTGGGCTGTCTGGCCCTAGCACGATGCTTGGTTGGTTCTGTGGCAGGCCTGAGTCTTGAGCTCAGTTGTTTGGATTTTATTCTGCCTGTCACACCCTGCTGAGGTGACCCGGGTCACCTTGGGTCTTACGGACTGACCACTGTCCCTGCCCTCCTCCTCAGGCCAGCGAGAGATGGAACCACGGTGTCCAGGATGAAGCTACAGGTCTGGGGGACGCTGACCAGCCTGCGCTCCTCGCTCCCGTGCGGCTCCCTCAGTGCCCACAAGCTCCCCTGGGTGACAGGTCAGTGGGCTGGGGGCTGGGGGTTGGGGTGGGACAGGGCTCTGTGTCAGGCCCTGCGGGCGCCTGACCCAGACTCTCCACAGTCTCGCACCACGACCCGGACCTCCCCTTCAACCACAGCTTCATCGAGCCACCCTCTGCTGGCTGGGCCTCCGACGACTCCTTCTCATCCGATTCTGAGTCTGCAGAGGCAGATGAGGCTCCGGCCTACTGTGTGCCACCCCAGGAAGGTACCCCCCTACAGCCCACTTACCCTGTGCACTCTTCCACTGCCACCTCCTCTTTAGTCCTCCAGCAAACGGTTATTTATTTGTTCATTCTGAGATGGATTTTCGCTCTTGTTGCCCAGGCTGGAGTGCGATGGCGTGATATCATGCTCATGTTTTATTTTTAGTAGAGACAGCGTTTCACCAAGAGGTCGGGCTGGTCTTGAACGCCTGACCTCAGGTGATCTGCCTGCCTCGGCCTCCCAAAGTGCTGGGATGATAGGCGTGAGCCATGGTGCCCAGCCTGCAGTTAGAAGGGCTCGTTCTGTGCCAGTCCCTGTTCTTGGCTCCAGGGACGCAAGAGAGAACAAGGTAGATTCCTGACCCCACCATGCTTCGAGTCAGACAGGCAGTTGTTGGACAAAGATAGGACAGAGTGACATGTGTTTCGATGAGGGACATACAAGTGGCGGCTCCTTCGCTAGCCACGTTGGGGTGACTGGGGGTCAGGGAAGATGTTTATGGTATCCCAGTTGTGTCTAGCAGAATCAGTAGGAGTTAGCCGAGGGAAAGTCAGGGAGAGGAGGGAACGGGGATTCGGGAAGATGCAACAGCATACACGAAGGCCTAGAGATGAGAGGGAGGTGGCTTTGTGACACTGAAAGAATTTCAGCTGGGTGAGAGCGTCACAGTATTTCAAAGTAGGGAGCGGCAGTGAGAAAAGAGTATAGAAACTAGGTGTGGTGACTTATACCTGTGATCCTAGCACTTTGGGAGGCTGAGGTGGGAGGATCGCTGGAGACCAGGAGTTTGATACCAGCCTGGCCAACATAGTGAGACCGCATCTCTACAAAACTGAAAAAAAAAAGGGTGTAGAAGAAAGTGTCTAACTGAATTGCTCCTTCTGTCTCTCTCTCCACCCTCACCCTCTCTTTGCTCTATTTTGGGGCCTCTGGGAGATGCTGAGCTGTAGGTAGGAGGAACTGAGGTAGCCAGCTCGGCTCTAGCCAAGCTGTTCTGTCTCCTCTGCCAGGGATGGTCCCTGTGGCCCAGGCACAGTTGTCAGAAGCCAGCCTGGCTGGAGGTGCCTTCCCTCCCGAGGACGCCTCCACGCCATTTGCCATCCCACGCACCTCCAGCCTAGCTCGGGCCAAGCGGCCGTCTGTCTCCTTCGCCGAAGGTACCAAGTTTGCGTCGCAGACTCGCCGAAGCTCAGGGGAGCTCTCCAGCCCACTCCGAAAGCCCAAGAGGCTCTCCCGGGGGGCACAGGCAGCTCCCGAGGGCCAGGAAGCAGAGGAGTCCACAGGCCCAGAGGAAGCAGAAGCGGGAGAGTCCCTTCCCATGGCTGCCAGCCCCGGGGATTCAGCCACTGGCCACCGGCGGCCTCCCCTGGGTGGCCTGACAGTGGCTGAACATGTGGAAGCCATTGAGGGCGGCGTCCAGGAGGCCTCAGGCCCTGTGACCACAATCTACGTGCTGGCCGGGACACCCCGGGAACCTGGAAGCCCCATCCGGTCCGTTTTGCGCCATTTTGGTGGCTTTCAGAAAGGCCAGGCAGAACCCAAGGTCAAGAGGGCCATCCCTAAGCCTCCACGCCAGGCCCTGAATCGGAAAAAGGGCAGCCCTGGTGTGGCCTGTGTCACCCAGAGCCCCAGCTCAGCCCCAAATGCCAGGCTCCCGGGAGCCATGGGGTCTCCAGCAGCCAGGCCAGAGGAAGTGGCCCAGGGGCTGGGGGCTGGCACTGAGAGTTCAGGGGGCACCCAGGAGCCAGTCTCTGGGGGTGGCTCCCCAGAACAGGATCCCCAGAAGCAGGCTGAAGAGGAAAGGCAGGAGGAACCTGAGTATGAGAATGTCATGCCCATCCCCAGGCTACCAGAGCCCTGATGACCTTGAATCTGGGGAGTGGGAAGCCTGGAGGGGACAAGAGGGGGCACCAGAACTGCCCATGGACTAGACTGTGCTGTGTGCTGGAACAGTCCCAGGGCCCGGACAGACATCCCAGAGCCTCTGCCCTTCCACAGGGAAAAGGCAGGGTTCGAGGCCAGCTGACTCAGGGCCCTGGTGGTGCTCCCAGAGGGGGCTGGGGAGGCCAGGGGCAGAGACCCTGCGGGAGGGTCAGGGAGGGATGGCTGCAGGGACTTCTCCTCTGCTGTTTGAAGAAGGGCTATTCTTTCTTTCATGTGAAAAACATTTTTCTGAACTGGGAAACAACCTAAATGTTTGCTGATAAAAGATTGGCTAAACAAATATTTCTTATGGTAAATGACTACACAACCACTAAAAATCATGTTGTGCAACAATACTTAAGCTGGGAGAATGTCCACGCTATGCGGTTAAGTGTATGAAAAGTAAGTTCCGAGTTATTGGATGCAGTATGCGTCCATTGTTTTCTTTCTTTCTTTTTTTTTGAGACAGAGTCTTGCACTGTTGTCCAGCCTGAAGTGCAGTAATATGATTTCAGCTCACTGTAACCTCTGCCTCCTGGGTTCAAATGATTCACCTGAGTCAGACTCCCGAGTAGCTGGGACTACAGGCCTGTGCCACCACGCTCAGCTAATTTTTTTTGTATTTTTAGTAGAGAGGGTGTTTCACTATATTAGCCAGGATGGTCTTAATTTCCTGACCTCATGATCCGCCCACCTTGGCCTCCCAAAGTGCTCGGATTACAGGCATGAGACACCGAGCCCAGCCACTTTTTTTTCTTTTTTGATATGGAGTCTTGCTGTGTCGCCCAGGCTGGAGTGCAGTGGTGGGATCTCTGCCCACTGCAACCTCTACCTCCAGGGTTCAAGCGATTCTTGTACCTCAGCCTCCTGAGTAGCTGGGATTACAGGTACCTACCACCACTCCCCGCTGTTTGTATTTTTAGTAGAGATGGAGTTTCACCACATTGGTCAGCCTGGTCTCAAACTCCTGACCTCAGGTGATTCACCCGCCTTGACATCCCAAAGTGCTGAGATTACAGGTGAGTCACGGCATCCAGCTGTTTTACAAACTTTTTAAAAAGGATGTATGTGCATAAAACAGATTCAAGGGAAAGGCACTAAATGGTATTTTCCTCCAGAAGATAAGATTGTAGGTGATATTTATTTTCCTCTGAAACTTTTGTATAGTTTGCAAATTTTCAACAGTGAAAATTCTTTTTTACTTTTGTGACTAGATTGAATTTCATAAAGTACATTAAAAAGCGGTGATCTTTGTTAAAAATTTTAAAAGTACTAACATTATAGACATGTGTAAAGTAAAACGAAGATTTCCTTTCTCCCCAGAGGCGTCTGTGGGTGAAAACAGAGACAGAATCTCCTTATCCCTGACTGCTTTCTGGTCTTGTTTGAATTCTTTGCTCACATATTGTATTACCTAGTCTGAAAAGAAAAGAGGCAGTCCCTTTTTTTTTTTGAGACGGAGTCTCACTCTGTCACCCAGACTTGAGTGCAGTGGTGCGATCTCAGCTCACTGCAACCTCTGCCTCCATGGTTCAAGCGATTCTCCTGCCTTGGCCTTCTGAGTAGCTGGGATTACAGGCGCCCAGCACCATGCCCAGGTAATTTTTGTGTTTTTGGTGGAGATGGAGTTTCACCATGTTGGCCAGGCTGGGCTCAACCTTCTGACACACCTTGGCCTCCCAAAGTGCGGGGATTACAGGACTGAGCCACCACCTCAGCCTCCAGAGTACTCCCAAAGTGCTCACAGGTGTAAGCCACTGCAACCAGCCACTAAAGCTTCTAAAATTATAATCCTTGTATATAAAATGTTGTGTGTGTGTTTAACCACCAACAATTATATCTCATTACAATTTAAATTTCTATGATTATTCTAAGGTTGAGTTTCTTTTCTATCTCAGCTCACAGCAACCTCCACCTCCCAGGTTCAAGGGATTCTTGTGCCTCAGCTTCCCAAGTAGCTGGGAAGTACAGGTGCCCACCACCATGCCTCGCCAATTTTTACATTTTTAGTAGAGACGAGGTTTCATCATCTTGGCCAGGCTGGTCTTGAACTCCTAATCTTGTGATCCACCCACCTCAGCCTTTCAAAGTGCTGGGATTACAGGTGTGAGCCACTGTGCCCAGCCTTTCTTCTTTTTTTTTTTTTTTTTTTTTGAGACGGAGTCTTGCTCTGTTGCCAGGCTAGAGTGCGGTGGCGCAATATCGGCTCATTGCAACCTCCGCCTCCTGGGTTCAAGCAATTCTCCTGCCTCAGCCTCCTGAGTAGCCGGGACCACAGGCGCGTGCCACCACACCCGGCTAATTTTTTTATTTTTAGTTGAGATGGGGTTTCACCATGTTGGCCAGGATGGTCTCAATCTCTTGACCTCGTGATCCACCCACCTCGGCCTCCCAAAGTGCTGGGATTACAGGCGTCAGCCACTGCGCCCAGCCCTTTTTTCTATTTTTAGTAGAGACAGGGTTTCACCATGTTGGCCAGAGGCTGGTCTCCAACTCCTGACCTCAAGTGATCTGCCCGCCTTGACCTCCCAAAGTGCTGGGATTACAGGCCCGAGCCGCCACACCCAGCCAGGAACTGGAACTTCATCCTGATTTACAAATGATAGTTTCTGAAGGATTTTGGAATTTACAATTCTCTTGGTGCCCTGGGATGTGATAGGGGCTGAATTTGACAAGCTGAAATTTGAAGGTGGCTCAACAACAGCAGTTGCAGGCCTAAGGGCACAGATGCAGCGATTAGGCAAATCTGTAGGAGAGCAGCTGTATCTGTGTGGTGTGGATGGGGTGAGGGACAGGCAGAATCACAGCGATTGCCTAACAAATGTCTGATGACAGGATGGTTCTGGCCTGGTGCTATGGCTCACGCCTATAATTCCAGCACCTTGGGAGGCCCAGGCTGGCAGTTCACAAGGCCAGGAGATCAAGACCATCCTGGCTAACACACTGAAACCTCGTCTCTACTAAAAACACAAAAACTTAGCCGGGCGTGGTGGTGGGCGCCTGTAGTCCCAGCTACTCGGGAGGCTGAGGCAGGAGAATCGCTTGAACCCAGGAGGCAGAGGTTGCAGTGAGCCGAGATTGTGCCAGTGCACTCCAGTCTGGGCCACAGAGCAAGACTCTGTCTCAAAAAAAAAAAAGAAAGGATGGTTCTCAGCAGAGCACTGTGAGTCATGTCTGTAATCCCTGAACTTTGGGAGGCCGAGTTGGGAGGATCACTTGAGCCCAGGACTTTGAGACCAGCCTGGGCAACAGGGCAAGACCCTATCTCTACAAAAAAATACAAAAATTAGCCAGGCGTGGCAGCATGAACCTGTGGTTCCAGCTACTTGGAAGGCTGAGGCAGGAGGATCGCCTAAGCCCAGAAGGTGGAGGCTGCAGTGAGCTATGATCACACCACCACACTCCAGCGTCTAGGTGCCTGAGATCCTTTCTCAAAAAAAAAAAAAAAAAAGAAAAAAGATGGTTCTTGGCATCTAACTTCAGTAGATAGTAGTGTGGTCACCTGAGAGAAGATGGGGAGGACAGTAGTTCTGAGGGATATTTGAGGGATGGTTGAGCCCTGGAGGGCCCTCAGCCTGCTCAAAGAGGAGGGGAGGGTGAAGGAAGAGACTTGCCAGGTGGCAGTCGAAACCTTGTGGATGGGAGATTCCACAGGGTGGGGAACCAGATAGGTTACCAGCTGGCGCCGCTCCCCACCCCCACCCCCGTTCCCCCTCAGGCTGACGGCACCAATCCTTGTCTGGGGAGGTTTCCCTTGCCAGGTAGCCAGGGCCGGTTCTACGCGGTAGGGGGCACACTCGGACTGGGGCAGGAGGCATCTGGGGCTCCCACTGCCCTGGGGTGGTGGTAGGGTTTTATTATATATATTTTTTGGTAGAGACGGGGGTCTCACCATGCTGCCTAGGCGGGTCTCGAACTCCTGGCCTCGAAAGCACTGGGATTCCAGACGTGGCCACCGCGCAGCGGTAGCTCTGGGGTGCTAAGCCAGTCCCCTGGGGCGGGCCAGGAAGACCAAGCCGATTCTGGGGCAGTCAGAGGGTCTTCCAGGTCGGGCTAGTGCCTCCGATGCGGGGGGACGAAGACGGGCAGCTGAGCTTTTGGTGCCAAGGCTTATCAGACTGGGACCCGGAGCCTCTTCGACCCCACCCGGACTTGTCCCTGAGGCATCGCCCGTCGGAAAGGGCCTCACCTGAAAGGGACTGGGAACGGGGTGAAGGTGGGGAGTGGGGCTCAGGGCAGCAGGTGGCAACCCGGGCAGGGAGCACCCAGATGACGGATGCGGGAGGAGGATTCCCGGGGGGACCCAGCAGTGCGTGAACAGGGGCGGAGAAGGCTCCATCTGATGGGGGGCCTCGGGAGACCCCAAATCCTAGGACGGGACAGAGAAGTGGGTCCTTGGGAGACCCCAAACCGTAGGACGAGACAGACAAGGGGGTCCTCGGAAGACCCCAAATTCTCTCGCACATTTCCAGGGACCGGGCAGACGGCGCCCGTGAGGGGAAGGGGTCGTGAACCGACAGGAGACACCACGCCTGAACCGCGTCCGGGATCCCAGACCCCGAGTGCGCCGAGACGGGAGCCGCCGGGCGGGAGCGCGAGGAGTCAGGACCCTAAGCCCGAGGCCGCGGGGACGGCAGCGCCATGCAGGGAGCACCGGGGGGACCGGAGAGCGGAACGGCCGCGCGGAGCCGGCGCATCTGGGCGTGGTGACTGAGGCGGCCGCGGGAGAACCCGGCTGGGGGCCCCGGGGGTCTCGTGGGGGTTCGCGGGGCGCCGGAACGCGAAGCGGAAGCCGCAGCCTCGCAGGGTCAGGGCGCTGGAGAGGCACCGGGGCGATGTCGCGGGGCCCCGCCACGCTGGGATCCGGGGTGAAGGCGGCAGAGCCCTGGCCTGGCTCGCAGCAACACGGCCCCCCCAGCCCCTAGTCTCTCTTGTTTGTCTCCGAGTCCGGCCGGAACCGGCTTCTGCTCACGGCGGGGCGGGCGGGTGGCTGGCTGCTGATTGGTCAACGCCTGTTTCCAGCCCCCGCTCAGCCAATCCGCGGGCGACAGTGTTTTCATCTCGGGTCGGAATAAAAGGGCTGGAATTAAAAAAGGGCAGAAAAGGCGTCGGGCGGGCCCGACACGCGCGGAGCAGCCGGGGAGCGGGAGCCGGGAGCGAGGTCGGCGAGGGCGCGCGGGCAGCTGCGGCACCGAAGCGGTGCGGGGAGCAAACGACGGAACCCGAGGAACCGGACGGAGCGGTGAGAGCCCGCCGGGGGAGACCGCGAGAAGCGGAGGGCCAGGGATGGAGGCTGGGGGTCCGTTGCCATGGAAACGGGCGAGGCGCCGGGAAACGCCCGGGCTGGGGGGTCTCGCGCCGCCGGTTTGAACCGGCTCCCGGTCTCCCACGCCGCGTTCGCGTGGCCGCAGCGCCTAGCGACTTAGACGGCGGCCAATGGCGCGGCAGTTCCTGCGCCGTCTGGCCAATCAGCGTGGTGGGGCGGGCCGTTCTGGAGCTTAGTGCGCTGATCTCGTGGTTGAGGAAACAGGCTCCGGGGAAGGGTCTCGGGTGCGGGCGGGAGGGCGCCTGTCAGGGACCCGGGGAGTGGCCACCCTCGGGCATCCTCCGGCCCAGGTGGCCGCTCCCCGCACCGCTGTCCAGGCCGGCCCCAAGCCGTGTCAGTCCTGCCGGGGGCCAGGGTCAGGTCCACGGCCCTGAGCATGCGTGGGGCCCTTCGTGCCTTCGTGCCTCAGTTTACCTCGGAGTGAGACGCCTCCCTGCCTGGCCGGGGCGGCTCGGTCGGCGCGGAGGGCGGCGGTGCGAGCCGGCCGCGCGTTGGGGTGGCCCAGGGCCGGGCAGGGCTGGGGCTCGCCTCGCCTGACCTCTTTCTCTGCGCGCTCCGGCCACCGCAGCCACGGAGGGGTGACGAGCCCCGCGCCCTGCGCAGCAGCCGGGGCGGCTGGCGGGGGGGGGTGCGGCAGAGGCCGGGCAGGGCCAGCGCTGACGCTGCGGTCTGTGCGCAGGTGGTGCAGAGCCCGAGCCCGAGCCGCGCCGCGCCATGGCGCCCACCCTGGCCACTGCCCATCGGCGCCGCTGGTGGATGGCCTGCACGGCCGTGCTGGAAAACCTCCTCTTCTCGGCAGTCCTCCTGGGCTGGGGCTCGCTGCTCATCATGCTCAAATCGGAAGGCTTTTACTCCTACCTGTGTGCCGAGCCAGGTGAGACAGACAGACGCCTGTGGCTGCGGGGGGGCTCCCGGAGTCGGGGCTTTGGGTGGGGGCGGGTGGGGCGGGAGGGGGCAAAGACCTATAAGCAGTACCTCACTCACTGCCCATCGCCTCTCCGGCATCTGAAGGTCCACTGGATCCTCACCCGGCCC